ATATTTTTATGTTGATGGAAAGATCAAGTAAAGAGAAAGAAATGAGTCACTCTAAGGAAAGAGGAAACTGTTACTACATCTGTGAAAAGGTAAGGGGAGATGGGATCCAGATGCCAGTTGGAAGGGTTGGTCAAGGTTAATCACTTACTCATTTAGTATGAGTACAAAACTTATACTCTAAAAGCTAAGAAATCATTTCATATTTGTGTGTGAGAGGAGGACAGACTGTCTAGCAAAGGGTGCTGAGGATGTAACACTGAGTGGTAGATCCTTGCTTGTCTGCACTCTGGGGCATATTCTCCTCTACTGCTGCCAGGATTTTGCTCCTTCTGTTGCCCTCTTAAATCTTCAGCTTCTCTGCAGGTTCGTTCTTTTCAAAATATGCACATGTTATCTTCCATCTTTTAAAAATAACCCCTGTTGGGGCGGCTGGGTGGCTCAGTCGGTTAAGCATCCAACCTTGGTTTTGGCTCAGGTCATGATTTCATGGTTTTGTGAGTTTGGGCCCTGCCTTGGGCTCCGTGCTGACTGTGCAGATCCAGCTTGGGATTCTCTCTGTCCCTCTATCTCTCTCTCTCCCTCTACCTCTTCCCCTCCCCCATTCACACTATCTCTTTCTCTTCCACGTAAATAAATAAACAATTTTTTTTAATGACTAAATATGAATAAAAATAACGCCTCTCTTAATTGTCTCCATTCTTAGCTACAGCTTCTCTTCAAAGCTGAAAAAGTAGTCTGTGTTCTTCTGTATTATCTCCCATTCCCTCTAGTTGAATCCAATAAAGTATAGATTCCACTCTTCACCTCTCCACACCCCTGTGGGAGAGAGAGAAATCCCTCGCTGACCTGTCTGGGCTCATATCGTACTACTGTTATAGCTTTTGCATTTTGATTCCCAGCAATTAAAACACCTATAGTTCCCTAAACATGCAATTTTTTTTTTAATTTTTTTTTAACGTTTATTTATGACAGAGCATGAACAGGGGAGGAGCAGAGAGAGAGGAAGACACAGAATCTGAAACAGGCTCCAGGCTCCGAGCTGTCAGCACAGAGCCCGACGCGGGGCTTGAACTCACGGACTGTGAGATCATGACCGGAGCCGAAGTCGGACGCTTAACCGACCAAGCCACCCAGGCGCCCCTCTAAACATGCAATTTTGTTTGACATATCTGAACCCTTACACGTACCTAGAATCCTTCTTTCTGTCCCCAGCCCGTTTGACCTATCAAGTTCCTCTTTCTTTCCAGGGTCAGGTTAGGCATCGTTTAGTGTATCTTTCCTTGATATTCCCAAGGCAGATTTAGGAATCCTTTCTTTATGTTTAAATCAACACTTATGTGCACCTTTAATGTTCCTTTAATGTGTATCACATTTTATTGCAATTCTCTTTTTTACTTTCTGTTTCACCCGTATAAGCCCTGAAGCTCCTTGAGGACAAGAACCTTTTTTCCTTTGATCAAGTGCCTAACACATGCCTAGAACATAGTATGTGCTCCATAAATACTTGTTGACTGGTTGAAACTCTGCATATATAAAGCTTTGTAAAATACTTGAACACAGGTGATTTCTGTATTTAGCTTAAATCTTGAAAATAATGCAGAGTTGAAAATCTCTTCTACAAAGTATATTGTCATAAAAGGCACTATAAATATGGTTTTATATTCATGCTGTAACTTAGGGCACAAGAAATCCAGCACAATTATATATGATTTTTTGGGTTTGTTTTTTCTTCTGAGTGACAATGAGAAAAATAATCTGCCCATTGCATTCAGTCCATTTAGGAAAAGTAGGAAATCTTAGCTGAAAAAGTTTGGCAGATGTAGATGTTAGATACCTGCAATTTATTGCCATTTGTAGTAGATATTTTGGACTTTTTGGCACAGATGTTTTGCACAGAATTTTAAAATTATTCAGTGCTATCTTGTAAAGTGGTTCTTTGAGCCTTTTATTTTCCTTTTTTGTATTTTTCAATACATGTCATTTCTACAGTTGTATAATTGGGTTTTTTTTTTTTTTTCCTAACTTAGAAACACATGGAACAAACCATTGTCCTACTGATAAGTCATCTTTTAATTTGGCTACAGTTGTTGCTGAAACACTTGGACTTAGTGTTCAAGAAGAATCTGTAAGTAATTGTTTAGTTTGGTGAAAATATGAATTAATTGGTATCCTTTAGTGTTGGTGTTTAGAGTATTAAGCAAAAGAAAAAGTATTTTATCCCAGGGTCATCAGATAAAGACCTAGAACAAAATTGATGTGGTTAGAAAGGCCTATTTATAGTCTCTACTCCAGCAGTCCCAGAAATCTGGAGTCTTTAGAATTCTTGGCATATAGGTTGTGGGTTGAGTCAAAATTTTAGGGAAGTGATGATGGCATAGAGGGTTTGGCCAACCCTTTCCTGTTTACTCTATCCTACCTACCCCTATCCTGTTCCATCTAACTGAAGACTTAAACCTTAAGGTTGGTTTCAGAATTTATTTGAATTTTTCAATATCCTTTAAATTAGGGTTTGATTTGGAAAACAGGCTGAATTCTTCGGATTCATCTGATTCTGTGCCACCTGATTCTTAGGGATTGGGTCAGAAATTGATCCCATGAATTAATTTTTGTTGTTTTAGTACTTCTTTATATCAGACACATTCACTTTGTTTCTTAATTGGTCCCTAAAAATAGAAAACTTAAAATTGAAGAATTTCAAGTTTTATTTATTTGTTTTATTTTGATACCACTTTAAAATAGTATTCCTTTGCTTTAGTCAGTAAATGTATATGTGCTCCTACAAAATTGTCTTGCTGTTAAAGTTTTAAAACTTGAATTGAGGGGCACCTGGGTGGCTCAGTCAGTTGAGCATCTGACTTCAGCTCAGGTCATGATTTCACATTTCGTGAGTTCAAGCCCCACGTCAGACTCTGGGCTGACAGCTCAGAGCCTGGAGCCTGCTTTACATTCTGTGTCTTCCTCCCTCTCGGCCTCTCCCTGCTGGCACTCTTTCTCTCTTAAAAATAAATAAACATTAAAAAATAAAATAAATAAAAATTGAGTTGATTTTTCACTATGTTTAGATTTTTTTTCTTTCTAAGTTTTAAATCCCTCTTCAAGTGGTAATGGGTAATTTTTAACCTTTGAACTTTAAATGTGTTTTAATGGTTTCTAATTCTTCCTACCCATATATCTGACAAATAAGTAGTTTCAGCACCAGATAAATTAAGGGAGCTGATCACTAAAGACATGTTTCTTGAGGTATGATCCACAGGCCAATAGCATCTGTATCACCTTAAAGTTTTATTAGATATAGAGAATCTCAGACCCCACCCAAGACCTAACTGCAAGCGAACTTGTGTTTTAACAAGATCCCGAGTTGACTTGAATGCATGTTAAAGTTTGAGAAGCACTGCTCTCTGAAGGAGTCTTTTAAATTCATCTTCTGTCAGTGTAAATAATTATCTTTATTCCTTTCCCCCCATCTAAATAACGGTTTTTGGAAGTTTATGGAGTTTTACATGAGTAATAGAATGTGCTTATGTAAAATATTGGGGCTTTTCTCTCTCTAAACTTAAAAGTGCTTATTTTTTTTTATTGTGGTGAAATGTGCATAACAATTCAGTGGCATTTAGTACTACACAGTATTACACAGTATTACTACACACTACCACATCTCTGGTTCCAAAAAATTCTCATCTTCCCCAAAATAAACCCTTTACCTGTTAAACATTCAGTCCTCATTCCTGACTACCCACAACCCCTGGCAACCACCAGGCTGCTTTTTGTCCTTATGGATTTAGCTATTCTGGATAATTCATGTGAATGGAATTTTGCATTATGTGGGTTTTGAGTCTGGCTTCTTTGACTTAGCCTGTTTTTGAAGTTCATCCAAATGGCAGAATGTATCAACATTTCATTCCTTTTTAAGAATGAATAATCTTCCATTGTATTTATATACTTTATATTTTACTTTTGAAGGAATCTCAGGGTCCCACGAGCCCTCTTGGTGATGAACTCTATCATTGTCTAGAAGATCACAAGAAACAACCTTTTGAGGAATCTGTAAGAAACAATGAAGATACTTTAAGGTAATTTGGGGCACTTTAATAATAACTTACAGACTATTGGTGAGATCTCATTACAGTTGAGTTCCATATAATTAATGATTTCTCTCTGTCAGCATATTGTATTAATTTTTATTTTAAAAATATTTTTCCCCAGTTCATGGTCAATTGAGGGCTTTTTGCATTACTGTAGAGAGAGGAATATTATTTTGGGGGTCTTTTTATACTTCTATCAAGCAGTAGTTCAGAGTCCAGCCTTGTTACTCTGCCTCTATAAAGACCCAGTCATCCCTTCTGTGTTTGTATTTCCAAAAAAATGTTATATATGGATGTTATATAAAATGCATTTATAAACTTAGGTGAATTTTCAAGATTGTGTTGTGTCTCCTATTTACTAATTTCAGAACATCCACTAACTAATCTTATCTATATTTGTGTAGTATTTTGCTTTTTTAAAAGTGCTTTCAGAAGTGGGGCACAGGGGCTGCATAGGTCAGTTGGTTGAGCATCGGACTCTTGATTTAGGCTCAGGTCATGATCTCACGGTTCGTGAGTTCAAGCCCCTCATCTGGCTCCATGCTGACAGTGTGGAGCCTGCTTGAGATCCTCTCTCTCCCCCACTGTCTCTCTGCCCCTTCCTCTCATTCTCTCTCTCTCTCTCTCATTTATTTATTTTTGAGAGAGTGAGGAAGAGAGAGCAAGCGGGTAAAGAGAGAGGGAGAGAGAAAGAATCCTAAGCAGGCTCCACACTATCAGCACCAAGCCTGATGGAGGGCTTGAACCCCCAAACCACAAGGTAATGAGCTGAAATCGAGTTGGATGCTTAACTGACTAAGCCACCCAGGCACGCCTAAATAAATAGAGAGAGAGAAAGAAGAAAGAAAGAAAGACAACTTTTAAAAAAGGTGCTTTCGGTTTTAGATACATATATCACATTTAATTTGTCATCAAAGTAGCTTTGCGCAGTGGCAGTATCGTAGCCAATGAGGTTTATCCGAGGCGCGATTATTGTTAATTGAAAACTTTTCCTAATTTGTCATCAAAGTAACTCATGAAAGTAGGTTTTTGATTACTCCCATTTTTAGTCAACAAAAACACAGCTCCCCAGAGGTTAAACGTCTTATTTAATACTACATAGCTGTTAATAACTAGAGCCAGAGCTCTTACCCATGCCACATCTTCTAACTGAAACCTAATACTCTTTCTACTACCATAACTGTCTCCTCTGCTAGAAGCAGGCTGGGTCTTAAGTTATGTTCAATTCTGTAGTATAAGATTTTTATTTTTTGAAGTTACTTATTATAAGATTTCATAACAACAAAAGAATTTAGGTCCCCACTGAATTTATTAAGCTATGATTTTCGTATATAGTGAAATTGCTTAAATTACTAGGAAAAATATTTATGGAGAGGAATATCAAGGTATTGAGATAAATTTACTGTATAATTTTCCTCAGCTTTTTGTCAGCCAAATGAAGAGAAGCTGACAACTCTACCCTATTTCAAATGTTGGTTAATAAATTATTTGAGTCTAATACATGGCTAAGACCTCACTACTAATATTCTATATTAGTGTAAATTTTCTCATATGCTTGTCTTTTAACTTTTACCCTATTTCTTTTTACCACTCTTTATTTTTTCAGGTTTTCAGATTCTAATTCAAAGACTCCTCAGGAAGAGTTAACTACTCGGGTATCATCTCCTGTATTTGGAGCTACCTCTAATGTGAAACACAGTTTAGGTTTGAATACAAGTTTGTCCCCTTCTCTCTTAGAGACTGGGAAAAAAAACCTTTTGAAAACAGCACCCTTCAACAACACTTCCAATTCTAGACTAGGAAAAACAACTTCAAAATCTGAAGATAGTGCCCTTTTCACACAGCATAATCTTGGGTCTGAAGTGAACAAGATCATTAGCCTGTCATCTTCAAATAAACAGATGCTTATAAATAAAAGTATAAATGAACCCAAAAGTGAACAGGATGGTTTTGATCACATTAAAGATGCTGTCACTGATAAACATGCAGTGCCACTGAAATCACTGGGAGGCAGAACATCCAAAAGGAAGAAAATTGAGGAAGAAAGTGAAGATGAAGGAAGCTACCCTCAGGCCTCTTTTGATAAAGAAAATGCTTTTCCTTTTTTACTGGATAGTCATTCTTCCGTGAATGGAGACTATGTGATGGATAAACCTCTGGATCTGTCCGATCGATTTTCAGCTATTCAGCGTCAAGAGAAAAGCCAAGGAAGTGAGACCTCTAAAGTCAGATTTAGGCAAGTGACTCTCTATGAGGCCCTGAAGCCCATTCCCAAGGGCTCTTCTTCAAGCCGAAAGACCTTAAGTGGGAGCTGTATATTAACCAGAGATTCCCCAGAGGAGCCCTGTTTACAGGCATGCATCCTCCAGTCCTTGGATAAATCATCTCCAGATAATAAAACACCATTACAAATCAAGGAAGAAAATCCCATCTTTAAAATCCCCCTACGTCCGCGTGAAAGTTTAGAGACAGACAATCTTTTTGATGATGTGAAGGTTAGTGTCAAATGTTCAAGTATTTTTATTAAAAGAGTTGTTTGTGATTTTATCTAGATGCTAATAATTCTTCCTGTTTTAGGGAGCTGATTCTCATGAGCCAGTAAAAATAGGCAGGTCAGTCCATGGAGCATGTGAACTTACATCTGTTCTTCAGTTAAATCCATGTAGAGTTGCTAAAACAAAGTCTGTACAAAACAGTCAAGGTACGTATACTATAAATAGTATTTTCAAAAAAAAAGTATTGGGGCATCTGGGTGGCTCAGTCGGTTAAGTGTCCGACTTTGGCTCAGGTCATGATCTCGCAGTTTGTGAGTTTGAGCCCTGCATCGGGCTCTGTGCTGACAGCTCAGAGCCTGGAGCCTGCTTCAGATTCTGTGTCTCCCTCTCTCTGTGCCCCTCCCCTGCTCCTGCTCTGTCTCTCTCTGTCTCAAAAATAAATTTAAAAACACTAAAAAAAATAAAGTATTTCCATTCTTTTGTAATGACTTTGAGTGTTATAGTATATACATTCTTTGGATATATTGAATTGTTTGGGAGAAAATGTTATTTCTTCCTGCATATTTGTGTTTATGGGATGATTCTCATTGGTTTCATTTTACATATGATTTTCCTGCTCTCATGCTTTTTGAAAAAATGAATTGAGTAATTGTCTTTAATACCTACTTTTATATGCGATTTCGTGGATTTACTTCTTCCATGTTATTTCTTATTTTCTTTACAAAAGCTTTAAGAATTTTAAACTATATGGAATTTTAAAATACATAAAGTAGAATTTTCATCATCCAAACTTTGTTCCTCACTCCATAGGTAGCCTGTCCATATGTATATATCTATTAATGTGGGGTTTTTTAAGCTTCTTGTTAGAAAATCTTTTCTTTGCTTTTAATTAACATGTATGTTAATCTTTTCATAATTTTGCTGTGTTTTTTTTTTTTTGTTTTTTGGCTACAAAATTTTTCTGTACTTCATATGCAGTATTTTTTCTTTTATTTTTCTTTGCAAAGTGTTTCCTTCATTCTGGGTTTATTTTCTTTTTTTCTTGAAGCACATTCTTTAGTTGTTCTTCCAACTAAAACGCTTAGTTTTTTCAGAAAGTTTCAGTTTCTGTATGAAAAACCTGTTTTCACTCTCACTTCTGATTTTCTTTTACATTTTTGATTTTGGGTTTTTTGTTCATGGTTGCTCTAGGGATTATAGTATACCTGCGTAATCTTTCTCAATCTACTTAAAGTTAATTTTGCCACTTTGTGTTCCGTGGCTGTGCTTTATGTAGTTATCATGTATGCCCACATGCATTGAAAACTACACAGTGTTACAGTTTTAACTTTTAAAACAATTTTTGATACAAAAATCACTCATTCAAGTGTACAGTTCATTTATTGTGTATCCTCACAGAGTTGTGCAGCTGTCATTGTAGTCTAAGTTTAGAACATTTTCATCACCTCAGAAAGAACACGGCCCATTAAGTTAATATGCAAAATGTGTGAAGAACTCACACAACTCAACGCCAAAAAAAGCAAATAATTCAGTTTAAAAATGGGCAGAGAGGGGTGCCAGGGTGGCTCACTCGGTTGAGCATCCAACTCTTGATTTCAGCTCAGGTCATGATCGCAGGGTCGGGGGATCGAGCCCCACATCAGGCTCTGCACCAAGTGTGGAGCCTGCTTGAGATTGTCTCTCTCTCTCTCTCTCTCTCTCTCTCTAAAATAAAAGGTGAGGGGCAGAGGACCTGAGTAGACAGCTTTTTCAAGAAGGCATATGGATCACCAACAGACACATGAAAAGATGTTCAGTATCACTAACCATCAGGGAAATGCAAATTAAAACCACAATGAGATATCACTTTATACCTGTTAGAATGGCTAAAATAAAAAACATAAGGAATAACAAGTACTGGCAAAGACATGGAGCAAAAGGAACCCTCGTGCACTATTGGTAGGAATGCAAATTGGTACAGCTACTTTGTTTCGTTTTTTTGTTTTTTTTTTTAATTAGCACATCTTTTATTTGTAAAATAAAATGGAAAGGGCCTTTCACAAAAATTAACTACACATACTTTTCAGAAGGAAAACAAGAGCTCAAGGTAAAAGATTACTTTTTCTTTTAAAAAAAAATTTTTTTTTTTAACATTTATTTATTTTTGAGACAGAGAGAGACAGAGCATGAACGGGGGAGGGTCAGAGAGAGGGAGACACAGAATCTGAAACAGGCTCCAGGCTCTGAGCTGTCAGCACAGAGCCTGACACGGGGCTCGAAGTCACGGACCGCGAGATCATGACCTGCGCGAAGTCAGCCGCTTAACCGACTGAGCCACCCAGGCGCCCCAAAAGATTACTTTTTCTAGCGAATTTCTATATATGTATATATATATATGTATATATATATATACACATATATGTGTGTGTGTGTATATACATATGTGTATATGTATACACACACACACACACACACACACAAAATTTATTGTCAAATTGGTTTCCATACCATACCTAGTGCTCATCCCAACAGGTGCCCTCCTCAATGCCCATCACCCACTTTCCCCTCTCCCCCACCCCCATCAACCCTCAGTTTGTTCTCAGTATTTAAGAGTCTCTTGTGGTTTGCCTCCCTCCCTCTCTGTATCCTTTTTTCCCCCCTTCCCCTCCCCCATGGTCTTCTGTTAAGTTTCTCAGGATCCACATATGAGTGAAAACATATGGTATCTGTCTTTTTCTGCCTGACTTATTTCACTTAGCATAACACTCTCCAGTTCCATCCACATTGCTACAAAAGACCATATTTCATTCTTTCTCATTGCCAAGTAGTATTCCATTGTATATATAAACCACATCTTCTTTATCCATTCATCAGTTGATGGACATTTAGGCTCTTTCCATAATTTGGCTATTGTTGAAAGTGCTGCTATAAACATTGGGGTACAAGTGCCCCTATGCATCAGCACTCCTGTATCCCTTGGGTAAATTCCTAGCAGTGCTGTTGCTGTGTCATAGGGTAGATCTATTTTTAATTTTTTGAGGAACCTCCACGCTGTTTTCCAGAGCGGCTTCACCAGTTTGCATTCCCGCCAACAGTGCAAGAGGGTTCCCTTTTCTCCACAGGTACAGCTACTTTGGAAAATGGTATGGAGGTTCCTCAAAAAATTAAAAATAGAATTACCATATGATCCAATATTTCCACTACTGGGTATTTATTTACTTAAAAGAAATAAAAATACTAATTCTAAAAGATCTATGCACCACTATGTTTATTATATTATTATTTACCATAGCCGATATGAAAGCAATCCAAGTATCCATAAATAATAGATAAAAAAGATGTGGTTATGTATGTACAGTAGAATATTATTCAGCCATAAAAAAGAACGAGATCTTGCCATTTGCAACAACATGGATAGACTTGGTATAATGCTAAGTGAAATAAGTCAGAGAAAGACAAATACCATATGATTTCTTATATGTAGAATTTAAGAAGTAAAATAAACAGAAGAGGCAAAACCAAAAGACTCTTAAACACAGAGATCAAACTGATGGTAGCCAGAGGGGAGGAGAGGGGTGGGGAAT